CCAAGTTGGATTGCAGGCTCAAGACATTGGGAGGATTAAACAACTACAAGCATGGGGAGGCTATCTTGGAAGAAGAACCGACTTCAAAGCTCTATAAAAGGAGCTGCATTCCCAGCATGAACGGACACATCTGAGTGGACATACAACACACAAAACACAACAGAGAGAGAAGAAGAGAGTAGAGAGGGGAGAAAACTCTAAAGGAAGAAGAAGTCCAGTAGCAGAAAAAGAGGAGTAACAGACCTCACTCGCCTGAGTGACAAAGGTCACTCAGGCGAGTGACCTGTTGCTCAGCCATCTAGATTTGCTTCTTCTCAATGCTTTACTTCTTTTCTTGTATTTTCTGTATGTATGTGTAGTTAATTAGATTTCATTCTCTGGAACCTATGTAGTTTAAGTTTGTGAATGCATTCGGATGATTTTGTGTTTTGAAGTTAAAGCTTTCATCTACCTCTTGATTAAATTGGCCATTTGATTGATTGTGCACAGAACTAAGTGAATCCTGGAAGGGTAAACAAGGTTCAGAATCATTTAGCTTCAACTTATGACTTGGAGGTAACAGTCCAAGGTTCTAATTGAGATAGGAATATACTTGGTTAGCATAAGCATTCATATAAGGCTTGAAAACTTAATGAATTTATGACTTGATTAATCATTGGAAAATAGTTTAATTGAGTTCATAAAGATACCTCTAGGAAAAATCGGAAGTGACTTAGAGATATATAAGTGCCTGAATGAGCATGAATTCATACCAAAAGAGTGCAATATCACAACTTGATTACATAGGGAAAAGAGAATGAATATCCAGTTTGTTGAGTCAGTCCCTAGAGTCGGAATTCTCACTCCCGTGAGTGAGGTTCCATTTGTCTTTCTTTGTCTTCAGTTCTGCAGAGTCACTTGCCTGAGTGATTTTACCCACTTGTGCAAGTGAGTGACACTCTGCAACTTTCTTTCTTGTTTGTCTAATTTCGTGTTCCGGTTATTTGAAGTTTAACTCGTCCCTGTGGGATCGACCCGACTTATCCTATCTACAGTTTAAGTTGGTAATTTATTTTGGGGGCTTCGACAACCCATCAACTCACCTGAAGCATTTGAAATGATAGTTTAGTTAATCACCTTTCTTACAGCTATTAGAATAACCAGGCTCATTGTTCTTTGCTTATAGCTACAATCACTTGGTGCACTTGCAGTGTTGGGGGAGACCACTGTTGAGTTGCAAGATTCCAGAGTCAGTATTTATTACCCACTGGAATTTTAATTGAATCATTTAAAATTAATAAAACCTTTTCAATAAAAGATGATATATGCGATATTTAATAATGCATTTATAGAATGAGATACTTCTATTTCGTTATATAGATATTTTTTTGAGTCTTGAAGTTCACGTTATAGACATCTTCTCCTAATGTTCTTTGGGTGCATCACATGCTAAAATAAAAAGAAAAAAAAACTTGAAAATAAAAAGGTCTCTAGATCCTTTTCTCGTTCCTTCCTCTTTCTTATACTCTTCCTTTTTATGGCTTAAAAATGATGAATGGTCAGAAGTTGTAGAACATCTATGGTTTAAAAATTTTGTTTTATTCGCAGGTAAATTCTGCTGATAAGATTCTTGAACTTCTAAACTTGGGCAACAGTAGACGCAAAATTGAGAGCACGGAAGCTAATGAAACTTCATCTTGGTCAGTAATATATGTTTTATGTATGTTTGGCTCAATTAGTGTGTTACTAGAGCTTTCAAGAGGAAACAGAAAATCTAATTTATGGAAGTATTTCAGAGTTCAAAAAATGACTTTGAATGTTGGTTGTTATACTCAGACTTTGATTATGTTACAAATTCAGTTGTTTAGTGTACTTGTTCATTGTTCTTATTTTTTTAGGTTTAGGAGGACTTTACAGATGACTTCTAATTCACAAGCAAGCTCTCAAGTGAAAGAAAAAACAAAAGGAAACTATCTCACTTGGACTTCCAAGCTGGATAAGGTTCTTGGGACATGTCTTATAGATCAAATGGCTCAAGGAAACAAATGTGATGGGAAATTGGCTTGGAAGTCCTCCTCATGGACAGCAGCTATGAATGCAGTTTATGTTCATCTGAAAGTTGATGTAGACAAGAGCAAAGTCCAATCTCGTTTGAAGACATGGGCGAAGCACCATGAGATCTTGTCTCCATTATTGGTCTCCAGCAATTCCAGCTCTCCAATCACATGGGACTACGTGAAGGGCAGAATTGCAATCCACGATGAAAATGTTTGGAATGAGTGACTGCAGGTATTTTTTTCCTCCCATTTATGCATTTTGTGTGATGTAAATATGTGTCAAAATGATGATTTAGATTATCGTTCATACTGGGTATTACCATTGTTAATTTGTTATTTTGCATATTCCTAAGTTATACATTAAATTCTTATCTTTACAGCAAATCATTATGTTCTATGTTGTGTTTTATTTTCATCACTCTTCTGGTATTATATCATTAAGCTTCTTTTGCATTAGACGGTTTGAAATGTATTGACTTCTCTATATTGATGTATAGTTTTTGTTATATAGGCCAACCCCCAACTTGCTCCTTATAGGAGCAAAATTGTGATTGAAAATTGGGACGATATTTGTGCAATTTTCTCGTAAGACCGTGCCGATGGCCAAGGGGCAGCAACTTTTGAGGAGAATAATGCTAAGAATAAGGTCAACTCTTTCAACATAGGAGATCTATCTGAAGAGATTCATAATCAATCCGAAGCTATGAGACTTTTGTTGGCCCGACAAAAGCGAAAGCAAGGCACATCTTCTGCTTGTTCTCAAGGCTCGAGAAAAAAAATCAACCCAAGCTCCTGATTATATGACGCAAATGGCTGCTATGTTTAGTGACTACATGTTGGGGGAAAGAAAAAAGACTGAACTTGTGATAGCACAAAAAACAAAGATCACCCCTCAACAAATTTTGTCAGAATTGAAGGAAATTGATTTGGATGACATGCAGAAAATCAAGGCTGTGGATATAATGATGCTCAATCAAGTTATGTTTGATACATTTGTGGGATTGCCAGTTGAGTTGAAATACAAATGGCTTATGGCCAAACTTGACAAAGAAAACTGATTGTTCAGGTAATATTCTTTCACCTTTTCTAGTTGATCCAATCTGAGTTACTGCATTTTATAGCATCATTTCAGTTCATTCCACCTTATCTTTCTTTCAAGTGAAAGAAACAGCTCCAGGATCTCTGTTGCTCTTAAGGCTGAGACTGTTTCTGATTTGCAGGAGATTTTGTGCTGCATGGTGCTCTTTGCGTGTGTTTATAAGGTTTGATCCTTAAATTCTTTTCTGTCCGCTGGTTTTGGATTTTTTTGCTAAAATCGTGTTTTATCCTTGCCAGCTAGTTATGTTTTGACTAAATTGCTTTCCTTGTGAAAATGAATTACTTGAATTAAGCAAGATGGCAACCTGGCATGGTGTGCTTTACTCTTTATTATATGTTTACTCAAATCAAAAGTGATCAAAGTAATTAAAGTCCCCTTCAATTTTTGTACATTTAATTTTAGTCTTGTGTCTTAGTCTTCTGCTAAGCCAAAGATTAGGCCCTCTTTTGCTTGTCATTTAGAGCAGAGTGTGTTGATGTTGTTCCTTTTTACCCAGAGGACGTCCTTCCACCATTATTATGTTATGGCTTAACACTTGTGATGTGCAGCCATATTATTTTATGGCTTAACAGTTAATCGGTAATGTGCTTAACACTTTGTGATGTGTGGCCATAATTTTAAGTTTAATACGAAGTTTTGCTATTTGTGGGCCGTTTTGGTAATAACTTATTGCACTTCTGTTGTGGGTGGCAGGTATATGGATATTTTTGGTTGTGCATTGCAGCTGCAAGATGATTTGGACAAATGTTACAAGGATTGCCAGGAAAACCATTCCTTGGAATGTTTTACAATTTAAAAGAGTAGATGTAGGTCTTGTGTCCACTTTATCTCATGAACTACAAATATTTCTAAACTTTAAACATTGCCATAAATATTTCAAGCGGTTTTTGTTTGATACATTGGTGGTTACCTGTTATCTTCTAATCTGATGTAGTCATTGAAAATTAAGCTAGTTTGATAGTTTGATGAATTCCGTAAAAGCCGCCTTCATTCTGATCTTGTAAACTAGGAATGTTTGAATCTATTGTTCTGCATTATGATCTTGTTTGCTTTTCTGCTTAAAAGATTGGGACTCTTCCAGTGATATCATTTGACCGATGATGGCATTTTGTTTCAAAATCCACCTTTTCCAGAAATGACACTATTTTACGTAACAAAAATTAAAAGTTGAAGTAATTTTAAAATAAGCCAATTTTTTCTTTTTTTTCTTTTTTAAAAAATAAGCAAAAGCCAAAACCAACCCAATTACTTGACCATCCGAACAGAGAATTTCGAATTCCAATTGAATTTGTAGCCAATTCTATGATTTTGCCGAACAAATGAATTGACATTGAATTAGAATATCTTGAATGCCAATTGAATCCCAAAATATTCTAACGTGAATGTAATTCCAATGCCAAGCAACCGAACACACCCTCATACACATTGCCAATGTCATTCTATAGTGAATCAAACACCCTTACATGACACTTCTGGTACCTTAGAAATTTTAAGAGATTTAAGAGACATTATTGTAAGAACATTGCTTTGTACTCTTACAGATTTGTGATTAAGTTCATATCATGTTATAAGATGCGAAGAGGATTTGCAATGAAATGCTTGAGATAGATGTTGTCAACGGATCACTATTGCACACAAAGTCATTATTTCCAAACCATTTGTAACAAGACCAATCAGAATTAAATCCAAAACACATAGTAATTATGCAAAAGTTCAAGCACTAAAATTGTAAATAATATCTATCTTATTCACCCCCCAAAAAATGAAAAAATCCCAATCAATCCATGACAAATTTCACGCAAAAATAAAAAATCTTAAATTAAAATTCAAGTAGTGTGGTAAATGAATAATAATCAAATCCGAACCGAAGAAGCCAATCTCCCCTCCGGCCCCAAATAACACAGAAACCCTAATTTTTGGGTCCGATTCAGAGTTTCATCTCAGCCTCGCATTACATGTCCCACCCCCACTCACTCACCCTATATCCGTAATAATTTTACATATACCCAAATTTCATCTCTTTTATATTTTTTTCTTTCTCTCATTTTCCCCCAATTCTTTTATTCTTCGTCCTCTTTCTCTTCTTCTCATCAACAAACAAATTTGTCAAAATCCCCTCTTCTTTCCCCAATCTTCCCAACCGTCAACAATTCCGATTCATCACCGACTCAATTCTTCCTATCCTCCGATCGATCCGTCCTCCCTTTTCATCCCTCTGTTTCAGGTACCATTTCTTCTTCCGTGTTTGATTGTGTTCTTTTCCCACCGTTTAATCTGCCGCGGGCTTCGTTCTTGATCAATCATTTCTTTATTTTCTTCCCTAGGGTTTCTATTTTCGTCTGAGTATGTCTGTCTTGGAGGATTGTTTATGTATTTGTTTTTTTGTTTGATTTGGTTCTTTTTGGCATGTCGGCGTTTGGTTCTGTTAGGGTTTCGCGGTGTGATGTTAGACTGCGTATGTATTTCTTTTTTCTGATTGATGATGAGTTGGGGGGAACATTTGTATTCTTATTATTTCATTTTGTTGTGAATGAATTTGATCGATCTTGATGGGTAAGACTCTGCCTTTCCTTGATCTGCATGTGCCTGATGTTGTTTTTTTTTGGGGGGGGGGGGCAAAGATTATTGTTTTCACCGTGGCTTTTTTCCAGTGCTTCTCGATCATAACATTACACATTCCGTTAAAAGCTTGTAGCATTCTATCCTGGGATTAGAAATGTCATTTCCTGGCAATGTAAGTCTTCTTGGGGAAGTATGGACGTGGCTGAGATTGTTGCATCAATGAGACATGATTGTTTCTGTCAAATTGGGTGGTATTTGAGGGTGTTTTTTCTTTTTGCGTTTGCCTTGAGTGAATAGTTATGGTTCCTCTATTATTTCATTTTATCCTGAACTTTAGCTGTGTAGAAGAAACAGAGAATCTTGTGATGTGATTTTCAGGGACCTCTTTACTGATTGGTATGCCATTTATGTTGAAGGTTACTCCTAAGAGGAGTTTTTTTTTGGGTTTAAATGTTTAGTTCGCATTTTAAATGGACTCAAAGGGTGGCCGCCCCACTTTTTTTTTTTTTTCCGTTTTTCTTTTTTGGTTGGCTGATGGCTTTTTATCTGGTCATATAGGATTCTTAACTGAGTCTTTTATTTTTTATTTAGCTTTGATTATTATGAACCCTTTCCATGTAAACTGTGACGGTGCCTTCACTTTTTAGCTGTGATAGTGTGCCATGCAAGTATTGAGCACCGTGGAATGGTGGAAATTAAGGAAGGGAAAGAAACATCATAATTCTATCCTTCAATGAATATGTGATTTGGGTGGATGGGGATGTATTATGGGAGTTATATTTGGGAGTTGCTTGCGAGTATGGTTATCATACTATATGATCTTCTTCCTCGGCTGACATATTTCCTAATCTGTTTATAAGTGGAGAAAAAATTTTTGGCTTCCAATGAGCAGTTCAGTAATCAAATGATGTAATCTACTCGCTTAGAAGAATGAATGCTGATATCTGGTGGTGGAGTATGTGAATGAGAAAGACAAACAACTGAAATGTTATGATGATGGTTATTTTGTATCGTTTCCTGTTTGATGTATCCATTGTATTATGTAAGGTTTATTTTGGAGAAAACCTTTTCTCGTGAATTCTGCACATTTCAATCCATCAAGTTCAATTTTTGGTGATTGAGAAAAAGTTGGTTAAGCTTTATGCTCCAGCAAGCATTAGAATTTTCATATTCCGTTGCACCCTTACAGAAGAATGTTTTTCTGCCTACGAGTAGGGGAGGGAATGAAGAGAGGAGTTGGCTTGTTCGGATAGTGTATGACAGATTTTAGGGACAAATCTCATCTGGCATCATAGATCCAATTTCAGCAACATGTATATTGTTTGAATCTTCTCTTGTGCTTGGAAAGCTTGCTGGATGCAAACACATGTTGCTGTCTCTGCTGTTGCTGTTACCTTTCCTCTTGCCTTTCCTTTGTTTCACGTAGTGCTTATGATTTATTTTCCCCTCAAGATCTCAGAATTTTTGAATTAGCATCTCATGTTCTTGGGTTCTTTTATCTGCTTCCAGTATTGGTAGAATTGTTTTCCTTGTCCTGCATAATGTGAATTCGGTTATTTTGTTTGTATTTTGTTTCTGTGGTATATTTATCTGTGTGTATTCTGGTGTACTTGCTGACTGGGGTGATGTTTTGTGATCACGCCAGTCATATTATATTAGCCTTCTTTTGTAGTTCAGGGTTTCATTTCCCATCAAATTGCAACTATTATCTACGTATATACCATTACAAAAGCGTTGCAGAAAGCGTTGATTGTTTAAGGTTACTTGACTTTTTTGAAACTTTTGATATGTTGTTTTAGAAGGTATCCCTTGCTTTTGTAACTTTTTGAGCCCCATTGGCAACTTTTTTCTGTTTAATGCATGGAAAAGTACTTCCATCTGTTTCTTGTTTCTATATGTTGCTGCTTTTGCATATTTTTTGCTGTCCTCAGTACTTTTGGAAGCGTTTTGCTTCTGTTGTTCCCACAGTTAAATTAAATTATGTAATCTGATTCAGTTTCAGGAAGCAAAAATTGAGGCTAAGGAGATGTCTCCAGCATCAAAATCTAAGTCCAAGGACAAGAAAACAGGAAAGGAGCCTTCCAAGGCTTCTTCAAAGCCTTCAAACCATGCTAGCACAGGAGGTGGGATTCCTGCAAGTGGATACAATCCACTTTTGGGTACATTTCACACAATTGAGACAGCACCATTGTCATCTGCTGCTCCTCTGCATGTTAATGGTCGATTTAGGAACATAGATGAGTCCGATGATCAGAGTGGGAACTCCTTCGGAAATGGTGTGGAGTATGATTCTATTTCCAATAACGGGAGCTGGTCGGGTGATTCAGAAGAGCATAAAGATAAACCATCTCATCTGCCTATTCGTCAGGAGACAGTACCTGGAGCTGATAATGATAAGCGAGAAAAAATTCGTCAAAAGAATGAGAGGAAGCATCAGCGTCAAAAGGAGAGGCGAGCACAAGAACTACATGAACGGTGCAGTGGCTATCTTATGTCAAGAAAGCTAGAAGCTCTTGCACAGCAGCTTGTGGGAATGGGGTTCACCCAGGAACGGGCGACCATGGCGCTTATTCTTAATGAAGGAAGAGTAGAAGCATCTGTGGCATGGCTATTTGAAGAAGGTCAAGAAGCAGATAAGCATAAGGAGCATAATCTTGACAGTGGGAGTAATCTAAAAATTGACATATCTGAGGAACTTGCCCGAATTGCAGATATGGAGATTAGATACAAATGTTCCAAGCAGGAAGTAGAGAGGGCTATAGTCGCCTGCGAGGGTGATCTTGATAAGGCAGAAGAAACTTTGAAGGTCCAGAAGCAAGATCCTCCTCCTTCTGTTCCACCTAAGCCTGAAGAAACTGGTGATCCGCCCACTGTAAGCAATAGTAAGCTTCCAGTACCTGCTAATCCAAACTTACTGAAGGCACAACCAAAACCACCTTCAGCAATTATGATACAACAAAAAAGAGATGAGAAAGACTTCAACTACACAAAAGCTACAGTTACATCAGGGCCGTTGGTGGATCCTGCAAACAAGAATCTCCAGTCATTAAAAAGAATTCCGCCCAAAATGGATTGGGCGAAGCCCCAACAAATTGGTGTGCCAGCAGAGAAACGATGGCCACTTTCAAGCTCAAATCCATCTGTTTCCTATTCTTTGGCATCATCATTGCAGGCCTCTGCTCCACCAGCAAAGACAGAATCCCGATATGTGCCTGGTGGGAGTGAACTGAAGAATCTACAGATAGGATCTGTCAGAGAACCAGTAATAGTGATGCAGCGCCCTCAATCCATGAATGGAAAACAGAATCCCAGTTCTAGTGTAACTTCATCCTCACCTGGGCCAACCATGGGATGGTATCCTAATAGTGTTGAGACATTGAAGTCCAATGGGATAATGCCACCTGTTTCTGGTGCAAGAAATCCTAGTCCGAACAGTGTAAGTACAAATCAAATGTATAACCAATTTCAATATCAGCCTCAGCAGTTCGTGTCAAGCAGTGGTGCAATGGATTCTCCTGGAGCAACCCGAGCGAATGGTTTGTGGAACAGAGCAGGCACTTCTTCAACACTAGCTCCAGCTTCCAACCTCGGGCTTTTTGCTGGTTTAGGTATGAATGGGGCTTCGGGGTCGTCATCTCCTGTCGACTGGAGTACTGGTGGATCAATGGGGCAGTTAGATTACACCAACATCGACTGGAGTCTGAATCCCGGATCTTCCATGTCAAGGCCTGGTTTGTGGCAGGGTATGAATTCTTTTATGCAACATGATAATCCACGTACATACGATTCGTTTTCTTCTGGAATGGGTGTGAAGCCTAGCATGAGACCCATCCTGTCGAATGGTAGTGCCATTTCGATGTCAGGAATGCAGGATGTAGTAAGTTCTACTGAAACATCTTCTACTAGTGGTTCTCGTGAATGGACTTCTCCGTTTGAAGAGAAAGATCTTTTCAGTTTACCCAGGCAGTTTGTTTCCTCTCCCTCTCTGTAGGATGATGGTTTGAGAGGAAAGTTAAAGAAAATAAAAAGCCAAAAAAAGAAAAGAGACAAGAAACTGTGCTTGAAAAATTTCATGTTGGTGTTCGTTCTTCTGATGCTTTGACCGTGTGCTTGTTTCTGGTTCTTCTAATCATAGTGGAAAAAGCATCTTTTCTTTTTGTCTTCCTTCTTAACTTTTATTCTTGTCGCTTGTGTTGGCAAAGCTGCCCTCGGTATGAACTGCTGCGCTCTCTTTCTCGGTCTCTCTCACTCTCTCTGTTCGACATACATATAAACATCTCTTGCATCTGAGTTATTGGGCTCAGTGGTTCTATGAAATATCGATCGACATGATTGAGGCTTAATGACTACACATGCTGAAAGAAACTTAGTTGTAGTGCATAAAGTGGGATAACATAAAAAAAAAAGCTTTGGAACCAATTTTAGAAGAATTTCTGAATACTAACTTCGATAACTGATGATATGCTAAAGGATAAAGCACTGCCTGATGCCATTTTACGACAATCTTGTTGTCTATAATTTTCTAACTCATTTTGATTTGAAATAATATGTGCTTAAGATCTTAAATTAGGTCGAGATAAGTTGCCAGACTGGCATCCCGCAAGCATGCATTGACCTTGTGTGATTCCAAGGCTTCAGAAACTGTCTTACAGTAACATGATTGTTACATCAACATGCCGGCAATGAAAATCAAAACTCAGACACAAAATAATTACAACTGAGAAGAGTAAATTCTACTCTATAAGAGCCTTCAACTTCCATGATTACTGATGCAATTACAACCTTTCCTGTATTCTTTAGCTGAAAAAAATTCATTCCACCACCAGAATTAAGCATTTGTGTTGCCGGTGTTTCTTGATACCGGTTCTGTGTACCACTGATTAGCCGGACGAGTGATAAATTGTGCTTCTGCAGTTTCAGTGCAAAAAATGTCAGGAAAAGCGTACAGAAAAAAAAAAAAAAACAATAGTTTGTCCATTTATGCTTTTTTAGTGGACCAGAAAACTAATAACAAGTTAGGGGCGGAAGTTCTTTTATTATCCCAACTCTCAAGAAAAAAATTATGTCAGTCACTGATGAGGATAATGACTTGAACCTTGTTTTAGTCTAACACATAATTATCCTAAAGTATATTCCTAATCCTGAAGAATACTATTTTACTCCTAAAGGCAATGCAAAAACTCTTTATTACAGTCAAATGATTGCAAGAAATGACATAAATTGACGAGATAAAACCTGATTTTTTGAACTCAGACATTGGTTTTTTCTTACCGGACACAAATACATCCTTGTACTCATCATCATTGTATATGAATTGTGGAGGATCAGGAGAACCAACTCCAACTATTGTGCTTCCGCTGCATCACAAATAGTGAATGATTTAACTTTACATCAAAATGACAACAATCTCGTAAACTACTCTGAAGTTTATACTCCAATAATACATTGAATCAAATCATACTAAGTTATCACTACACATATGCCAAAGAATAAATAAAAAAAAAAAAACAAAAAAAAAGACTAAAATTTGTAGATACATTAGATCATCTCACAGATATATTTGCAGAAAATGAATGGACCATTTTTTTTTTTTTAATCAAATTGCTACGGTGGAACACAATCTACATGTCAATTTCATTCTATTTTACATGGCAGGAAAACATAACACTGGTAGCTAATTGTTTTTCGTAAAAATATATTAGCCAACTCAGATCTAGACTACCAACAGTATAGAGTATAATTCCTTTTCTGATCGTTTTTGAGGTGCTAGGCCAAGGTGAGCATGTAACTCAATATCTGATCACATTTTGATATTTGCTTTTTCGTTTGTAACAAAAAATGAAGCTAGTAAGAGATTGCAATCAAGTATAAGCTCAGAGCTTCTAAATGAACAACTGACAGTAACATGCATAGGTAATAAATAACATTTTTCCATTGCACTGAAAGGAAGGCACTACTGAAGAACCTATCCTGGTGGAGACTCGGATGACGGTAAGAAAATTAAAGTCATCAGAAACTGATGGCACTTAATGAGTTGTAAACTACATTCTTCTTTTGAAAAGGTGGCCTGGGTGAAATTGCTAGAGTAAAGTAGTGAATTAAAATCACAGGTATTACTGATTGATGGAGTATTAGAGTTCCAGGAATTCTAATTCTAAGGGATAAAAATACTAGGCTCCTATGCTACACATCCATTGACAACCTGCCTTTCTTGTTAACATAACACTTACCCACCAAAAGGGTTGCAGCACATTGTAAATAGTATTACAAGAAGAGACCTGACTGACGCAATGTTCTCTCTTGTTTGGTAAAGATTGAAGAATAAACCCCTAGAAGGGGATAAAAATTCTAAACCAGCAATAATGATGATATTTCAACAAATGCATACTAATTAGAGACAATGATTACAAAAATGCCAAAGCCTATGTACACATATCAACACACAATCTACTGTAGAGATATGATTTTCATTTTGCAAACATTATGCGCAAATCCAAAATTCTGAACACAGAAGGCCAACCCTTTTTCAAAAATGAATCTCTCTTGGAGTCCTCATTTCTGGGATACAACTCCATCTAGTAAAAACTGGCAATTGACATTTAGAAATACCGGCTATACCTTCCTCACCATCTGAGTAAAAACATCTTCTAAAATCTCTTTGTGACATCCCATAGCAGGAAATTAATTCACCAATGACAAAATATTCACAAAAGTTTCGAAAGCCAAGAAAATCATAAAGTGTAACAGTATCTAAGCTAGCTTGAAAGCATATTCCAGCAGTTTTCTATCAGTAACTACAGATGTCAATGCACTGGAATCTAAAGAATGCGAACCTGAGATAACACGTTAGAATATCTTACCTTCCAGACATAAAAACAGCATCATATTGTCCTCGACCAGCAGCAGCTATACGTTGCTTCAATCTTTTGAGAGATGGAAGAACTTTAAAAGCAGGAAGTTCTGCCACATTAGCGCCGTCAAATGTTAATAACCAATAAAAAAAGTCACTGCTGATAACAAAATCAGAAACAAGATATATTCAATCTCAATAATTCTCCACAATCCAATAGCACAAGCAGGTAAACTTGAAGTCCAGAAGCTAAAGAAAGAAGCTTGTCTAGACTTCTTATCCTTCAAGGGGTTCAGGATCAGTTCAGAGCTTGATTTACTCTTTAAAATAGTAGTCTAAGAACAGCTTGAAACATCTTAAACTCATTTTGTATTTCTAATGACTTTTCTAACAAAAAACAGTTCAAAGTTGCACCACAGAAATTTGGTCCAGAGGATCCACAACAAGTTGTTCCGAATACAAGGATTCGAATAAATAATGTCTGCATCTTGTACTTATTTTTTAGGCCCATGCAAATTAAAACAACTTTGTACAACTGTAGTCACAAGCAGAATACCAAATTTACATGTACTATTGTAACAAAACCCAAGGCTCAAGTGAATCCTCGATGAGAAAATGAGTACATGTTTGCCTTCACACAATTAGGAAGTTACCTTATGGACTTCAAAGTATCAGAAATAAAACTCTCCAAAACATTACAGATGATGGCTTCATTCTTCAGGTAGTGTTTTGAGTGTGTGTGTGTGTTTTGGATTTGGGGGGTGAACCAGAAAGTAAAGTCCATGTACAATAAAAAGTCCAGTACAATTAAAATCAACAGCAACTTTCACGATGATGCTTCGAAGGTTAATCCCAAAAAATATTATAACGCATTTTACTTTACACCTAATCAACCAATGACAAAGTAATCTAAGCCCTTCAAAACATTCAGATGAAACATTTTCACAGCAGACACCAGATAATAGTTTCATTTTTCAGGCGGATGGATAAAGCAGTCTGGAACCAGAGTCCATTTACAATTAAAATCAACAACTTTCTGAATGGTGGATAGAAGGTTTGGTCCCAATCCCTAATACATGCTTCTTTCCCCAAAATGGACAAAAGGGAAAAAGACTAATGACGAGCAGATGACTCTAGATTACGAGAATCCTCTACCACAAGGCAATGAATTTTTTAAAAAGGACAAAATTCAATGCAAGAGGATGGAGCACAGTAGCAATTTTGTTTCTGTACCTAAATCATTGACACAAGCATCTTGGGATATTCCATTTTTTGAGATCTTCTCCAATAGAGTCAGCGGATCAATCTTACTAGTTTCATCCAAAGTGAGTGTCTGCGAAAATGTTATTTAGTTATGATTCATCAGTTAGACTTCCAAAAGAAAGATTACTTGTAAAGCTACCTTGTAAACTTCAGCAGTCGAGCATGCTTCTGGGGGCTTTATTAGAACCATTGGAATGTCGTGACTTATTGGTGATGGAATATCTTGAACAACCTGAAAGTTACCATAGTAAACCAGATTACCATGCAATCTATCTGTTCCATCCAGGTAATAGAATTTCTATGGGGAATTTGCCATTCAGCTAATAGCACAAAGAACTATGAAGAACAAAAGTAAAGGCAATAACAAATGGAGAACCATTGAGACCGACAAAAGAAGAAAACAAGTGCTTCAGAGACAGAACTGTTATCTTCAGAATTCGGAATTGATTTTAAACTCCTATGTAGACAGTTTTTGATGACCTACAGTGTGGAGGATCAAACAAAAGAAGCTAATTCTGAACAGTTTTAGCAATGGCATTCAATTTATAAACACTTAATCCAAATCTCCACATATTTAAGAAGTAAATATCAAGACTATAATGTTCAAGCAAACATCTATAAACATAACTAAAATATTTGTAACTAAACACTAAACCTTCAAAACAGTTGAAGTGAATGTATTGGTGTGGACAAACAGCTTTCCAAACTTAATACTCTAACATGTGTCCGATACAAAAATATTTTTAACAAAAAGTATACAGTTGAAAGATATAAAAATCATGCATTCGTTGCATCTATATCTAAACATAGATGTGGATATATGTGCTGAGACCTGATACTTGAGTAGATTCCAATCTCTTTTTTTGGGATCAGTAACTAAGAAAAGAGCTGAAATGCAGTAAAATAAAGTTAGAGAAAGGTGAAAGGTGACGAGTTACTAATTTGTTGGATTACTAATCCCAAGAAACACTCAAAGTTCAGCACCCCTTTTATTACAGTCCACAGAAATCAGGAAAATGTGACTCATTTACTTTATAATTAAGACATAAAACCATAGCTTTCAATTTATGTTAGACGAGCAATTCATAATCATTTTGTTTACGAGATGTGCAGTTTTTGTGATTTATAACCCACTTTTCCTTTTCTAAAGCAAACTAATGAGAAACTAATCACCAAAGTTAATGACAAACTTAATTGAAACAGTACATTCGATGAAGATTTTGAATCTACTCAAGAGTTGGAATAGATAAATCAAATTCCTAATTCCGAAACAAATAACTAATCTACTCCAAAAGAGAATTTGAGAAGGAAAGAATATGGTTCCGATAACAACACAGATAAGTTTATCAAAGGGGTGAATTATTCAGTTTATTTTACACACAAGAATGAGCCTCTCCAATCACACAGGATAACTTTAGGGTGAGTAATCACTGTTAAAATCAAACACTCAATGAATGAACCCCAGTATAATCAACTGTAGCTTTGATATGCAATGGTTATGAAATAAACTTCAGCTCCATAAAAAAGATAAGTGCTTATCACAGCAACAAACATACCTCACCTCTACCAGTACAATAAGCTGCTCCACTGGAGAAGAAGAAAGGTATATCTGAACCAATCTCACTTGACCACTCTTGGAGATCCCTTTCACTAGCAATACCACCTGAGAATTGGTTTGCTGCCCACAATGCAGTTGCAGCATTGCTGCTGCCACCACCTAACCCTGCTCCAGTGGGAACCTTTTTGTCGAGATGAATCTGGAATAAAGATTAGATGAAATCAAGTCAAACTATGCCAAAATGGTTGTCCAAAAGAAAGAAACTTAAAGAGATTAGAGACAAATTGTACCCAAAAGAAATTATCAGTGCCAGTCTTTTTCCTATAAAGATTTAGAGCCTTTATTATCTGCAGCCGGCAGGAGCAAGATAGTAAATACACTCTACAAGACCAAAAATCTATGCAGCATTTAAGTCAAAAGCTGAAGATAGTACCAGATTCCGGTCGTCAAGTGGAACTCCTGGAACATTGGTAGATAAACGGTCGTTTGATTTTGAAGGCGACAAGGAAAATTTTATTTTATCACCAAGACTGATTACCTGAGGCAACAGAGAGTCATCAGACTCGATTACCAAAAGTAATGGAAATATTGATAATACCGAATGCCATATGCTATGATAAATCTAAGGAACAAATGAAGAGCGAAAAACTGGGGCAAAAAAGTATTTCAATGACAAGAATAACAAAAATATCATATCATCAATTCCAAGGGGAGCAGCAAGTTAATGTAAAAGGTATATACATGAAAGAGGGATGCCAAATCATGAAACCCATCATCCCGCTTGCCAGTTATTCTGAGAAATACATTTATCTGCACTTTAAAAGACAAAAACTTCAGAGGAAAAGGCGATAAATCAAACCAGAAATGAAATAAGGCAACTCTAATACTGTAAGATTACTCACCTTGCAAGGTGAAAATAGAGTTAGCCTTGAAAGCCCAGCATTCTTATCGACTTCATCAGCCAATCTATTGAGTCTACCCTCCAGATCATACTCAACCTAAGCAAACCAAACCAGTAAACAACAACAACGGCGTCATCATCCAAAAGACTAATACTAATAATAAGACACTATATATATAAAATCCACCCGAATTGACAACGATTATTTTAGTACGAGATTGCATTGATGCTCCACATCATCGTATAAAATTATATGAAACAATAACCTGAATCCGCACACCCCAAAAACGTAAAATGGATACAGAAAAATCACTGCATGTAAAACCCAATACCTCCACTTGTCTTCTGCCAGTAAATGATTCAGAAGAAGCTTTGACCAAAAGGGTCTCCCCAAAACTTGATTTTTTAACAAAGCGTGGTGGTCTAATTGCTCTGCGCGTAGAAAATTGAGGAAAAGAACTATTCTTGAAAGAATTGAACTGGGTTTTGCTGCCATTGCAGGATATGTACAGCTGCGGCTGACTGCAGAGGAATTGAGAGGAAGCAGCCATAATTGAAACAGGAGCGAATGCTCTTGCTCAGCTGTTCTATGTTATATGATTTATGAATTACTCTGTAGAGTAAGTTAAGAAGTGTATAGCAGCAACCAAGATTGATTATCAGAAGAGGGAAATGGATTTTGTCAACATTTTGTTCAATTAAGAATTATGCTGATTTCAATATTCTTTCTGTGTGTTTGGTGACTTTTTTGTCCTATTTCTGAGAGCTGCCAAACTTGAACCGGGAAAATGATAGCGTGCCTCTCGTGGTCGTGGGATCGACATTTTGATTCTATTTTACGTCTGATTTATTTTACGGGTATCCATTTTTTTTTAAGTCTCCACAAATCAATATTGAAAATGTAAATATATACTACATGGTATAAAATTTAGAATTTTGTGTTGAAAATTTTAAAAAACAAAGAAAAAAATATTTAAAGATACAATATTAAGAGACAGTCTAAGATTCTTGGTCATCATGTCAATTCATTCCTCAACGTATTGGTTTAAAGAATGCATTAGTACAACATTTTTGTTGTTGACGTTTGTAATATATAGAAATTCTTTTTTCTTCTTATAGATGAAATAATTAAGGATTTGTTTTAAAATGTATCCATGAAGCACATCACTTAAAGTTGCACTTTGTGATCAACATTGGTGGCATACTTCATTTTGTAAGCAAATGATCGACACAAGAGCATAGAGCATCGTGTGAAAGACAGGTTTTTATATGGACTTTTTGTTCTCTGATTACTTCTTTTATATTGAAGGTCATGATAAATGAAAAGATGCAAAGTTTTGAGTTTATTACAATTTTTTCGAATGAAAAATCAAAAAGTTTTAGTACCATTGCTAAATTTTGGGTATTGGATAATCACAGTTATGAAACTAAATACTCCACTTCACTGGGACACTCAATCACAGCTGGTTCAATGCATGTTGTGGCATCAAGTAAAATTTGAATTTGAAATTTTATATTAGTCGAATTTAGATAAATAAAATTTTTATTAAAATACTTTTATAGTTTTGATACGTATAATTTTATGAGGTAATTAAAATATTAATTTAATTACCATAACAATATGAGAAGGTTACTTCATTGCAACTTTAGAATGTTAAAAACAATTTGAAAAGTAGCTTTGTGACATTTTCTTTTTTGGAGCAGATAAAAAATGAAATTTTTATAATTTTGACTCATACCATATTTCTAGTTTCATTATGTAACTTCATCATACTCTGTTGGTTGATATTGAAAATTAGAATAATAGTTTAATATGATAATGAGAGAGAGTTGACTAATTAATAATGCACAATTTATTATGAAATTCAAAAAATTGAGTTTGATCCATGAAATCAATGTAATTGGTTCAAAATTTAGGAAAAAAAATTACTAATGGCTAGAAAATCAATGTAAGGGGTGTAAAAAATTATACAATACATAGTTTTTTACTGAAATTTTAGGATACCTCTACAAATTACAAAAAATTGAGCAGGTTCGACGGCCAGTAGGCATTTCCATGTATCAGATTGAGGCTTGTATGTATGAAGTCTCCCCCTTATAGTATTATCTCTTTCTCCATAGATCTCACCCACATTTAATAAACTATATATCAAAAAAGACAGGTGTTGCGCACCAGTCCGTCCCCTTAGCTCCCCACTACTATGAATTTTTTGAGGGACAAAATTTACAACCCATAAAAATGGTAAACATACTTTGCATGTCCAAACCTTTAAGATAGTATAAATTATCTTTTCCATAATAATTATAAAATATTTTAAGAAAATAATTATAGTAAACAAAATTTTAAGAAAGGGACCTAAATAATATGAGGCCTAAAACCTTATCTTTAATAGTCTCTCCCTAAAGCGGACCTTGAGTCAATGATTAATAATGTGTACTCTCTCTCAATCCTGAAAAGAATATCATGGTTATTATATCGTTTTAGTTTAACAAATGTGTTTGATTTTTTTACACGAATCATAAAGATTTCATCACTCACCATAAAAAGTTCTTGTTATTTTATCATTTTATCATAAATTCCCTCTGCTAAGAAGATTATGGCAAAAGAAAGATTTCCTGAAAATTTATGATCACAGAAGCGATGGTATGTCCTAAAGTGATGATTAACCTTTAGTTGTTCTTCTTCCACACATGACTGAATTTTTGAATTTATTTGATTATGTATAGTTGCACATCTAATTCCAGTTTGGTACACGCTATCTTCCTCTTAACAGAAAGTTAACTTTTTCCTTCCAAACAACAAGTTCTGGTGGTCCTATCCCGATCTCAATTTTCTTATCCCTAATCGAATTGTATGTTTTTTGAGCTAACCATCATGTTTCCAATTGTACTATTTCACGAAAAGAGTGATTAGAACTTGTCATTCCGTTAAATTAATTTCATGTTTTGTGAATAGTACGAAGGATGTTACCTTTATTTTTCAGTATCATTAGTTAAAATTTAAAAATTTTGATTGTCAAATTGACGATGAACGTAACATGAAATGTCCTTAGAGAAATCAAGAAGAAGAGAGAGCGATGGAAAAAAAGGATGTACTTTTCAGGAAGTATCAACGTGACAACCTTCCATTGAACACATTTCTCCAAGTCTAAATGAAACAACATAAGACGGACTTCTTCTGGTCCGAAAAAATAATCCTATTGAGTTTTTGAATTTGCATGGACTATTGTCAAATCTGCCAACACAAGGCTAGAAGCAGATTTATTGACATAGTGCCGAACTCTGCAAAATGTTGGCAGCAACCATTAAACCCAATGAGCTCATAGATTATATAGTAAATCAAGTAATGGAGTCAATGGTCTTTCAAGTTAGGCCTCAAATCCATTCCCAAGCAATATATTCAACCTCCAAACGAAAGATTAGAGAAGGACCAAGTAATTCATGAGGAGTCAATCCCAATCATTGATGTATCTAATTGGGATGATCCAAAAGTTGTGGAATCCATCTATTAGGCTGCTCGGGAATGGGGTTTTTTTTCCAAATCATCAATCATGGAATCCCAATTGAGGTTCTTGAGAATGTGATGGAAGCTGCCCATAAATTCTTTGAGTTACCCAGTGAGGAGAATAGCAAATATTTGAAGGAAAATTCTCCTACTCAGACGTTCAGTTGAAGACTACCTTTAGTTGGAGAGAAAGAAGAGGTTCTCTTCTCTCCTGATCTCTCTTCCTCTAAAGATCTTTTTCGAAATCATCGCCGAACCTTACCAGTGGAGTTTGTCATTATGTGAAAATGTCTTTCAAATGCCTTTGGAAGCTTTGGTCCAAAGAAGGTTAGTTCGAGTGAGATTCTGCCTTTTATAGAAGATTCATCTGATGACGAAACATGTTCAAATGTCAGTGTTGAAGAAGGGTTGGAATGTCCAATATGTTTAATATTGTGGAGAATGTTCCTTATGTTCTTTGGTGGGGCCACACTTTATGCAAGAATGGTGTCTTAGAGCTTACGTGGGTTGCGTTGAAGTTCTCCTCTCAACATATTCAGGTTCCATTCTTCATTTCATGTCCATGGTGTAATTTGTTGGCATTTTGACTCATTTACAAAAGAAATCAAATCTTAGATTTCCCAGCAAAAACTGACAAAGTATGGATCTGCACCGATGTCTCCAGTTGATTGAACCTGCGGTCATGGCGGTATCAAAACCCTAAAACCTGCAAACGAGGGCCTCGAGGTCTCCCGAGGGTCCGATGCTTAAATCAGTAAGAGAGATTGTAATAGGGGTATAGATTGTGATGCGTAGAGCGTACCTTTGATGTGAGTGGTTGATGCCTATTTATAAAGTTAGGGTTACATGTTTGTGAAACCCTTTTCTCGGTAGGGAAGTAATTAGCAACCGTCCTAGAAGCTTCCAGGGGCTGGTTGAACCGCTTGCCGAACTTGGGCCGGCCTAGTCGCGGGTCATATCAATTTGGAATCGTCAAGTACCCCTTATCAAACCTATACTTCGAAATCTGAAGATAGGGTAGGGCTTGATAATATGAAGTATATATTTTCCTCAAGTTCGGGAAGAACTAACTTGAATCGAGAACCGGTGATGGTTAGCATCGAGGAGAAATCAAAGCAATGAAAGTATTAGTGTGTACCTTGTCGAATGTACGTGTCATAAAGCGCGATTGACATTTACGCCAATTTGCAAAGAAAGAAGAGTCATCAGTTTAAACTTTTAAGTGAGAAGTCGATAGGTGATGATCTTAATAATCTGCCCCATGGAGATACTAAAACAGATGCCTCGTTGAGAGAATCGAGAAGGAAACATAGTGGAGATTCTCACTAGTCTCAAAATTTGTGTCATTAGCTGCGGCTAAGATATATCAACTGTAGAAATGGGGAGTCTACTGAGAGAATGTGAAGAAAGCTTCTGATCGAGAAGTAATAGACCCAACCCTCGAGAACAATCACTGAGTAGTGGATCGAGAAGTATCACGAATGAAGACAGAGAATACTTGGTGTTGAGGAAATAAGTTTAAGAAGTAACACTGTCTGGGATTGAACCGCACGTCCAGAATTTGCCCTGACATAATCTTTTCTATAAAGAAATGTTAACGACCCCGGAGATTTTAATAGACCAGTTCGAGTGTAGTAGAGCATTTAGAGAGTCGAGACTCTCACCATAAGCATCCTCAATTGTCGAAGAGGGACAAAAGAGAGTATAAGACACCGTAGAAAATGCCGCATGTGATTACGTCAATGCAGGGATAGTGAGACTCGAGAAGATTCTCTCGAGTAGAACTCCATAAAAAACTCAAGAATTGCAACGTATCTGACCTTGAAGAAGGTATATATACAAGCATTTAAGCTTATTTATATCCGCCCAACCGACCCACTTGTCATTTCTCATGTCCTGAGAAATAAAGCATAGAACCCTTAGTCCGAGTTTGAGAAGTATGAAAATCGCGCAAGAACCGATGAGGTTTTACTCATTAGTGTGAGAAGAGACGATGCCCAATCTGAGCATTAAGTAAGGACCGTCGAGAATAGTCATAGGAAGAGATCCGTAGACAAATGATCATCTAAAGAAACAAAAACACAACCTCTCAAATACCTTATACACCTTCCAGATACCTTACAATCTCCCATATACCTTACTATATAATAAATGAACGTTCTTCTTTATAGATAACCCTGGAACCATTACTCATCTCGGAGCCCCCAAACCTTGGGGTGGCATTTGGCAGACCAAGACTTTTGAGATAAGAATTGTATGAGAGAGTAATTTTTGCTGCTCAGTTCGAGGCGATGCCTACTCAAGAAGCCCCCATACTCGCAGGGGTAAGGCAGTAAAATGGCGTCT